GCATCTTACCCAGCCAATTTATTTAACAAGAGTAGCCTATCGTTGTTATTTATTCGATGAAAATAGATTTGATTTTTGTACGAGTTGATAATCAGCTTGAACCAAATAAAACTGTCTGAAAATTACCAGGTTATATAGAGAGAAAGGTCTAAGAAAAATATTCAACACTAGTACTTAACTCTGGAGATATCAATCGAATTCTAAGCACGACGAAGAAAATGTCAACGGTGACCTGAAGTTAATAACGTCATTCTCTGACCATTTCAATGTGGTTCTTTTAAAGCAATTCATTTGTTGAATTGGAGGTGATATTAATCAATCGACAGAAATAACTAAGACATTTAAAAATGAAACTTTATCTGAGATTGAATTGATCTTTTTCCCACGATCTAAGAGTCATCAATATACAATGATTTCATCACTTATGCCACCAAGAAAATATTCCACGATGTGCTGCATGCTATTGTATATTAGCAATTTTTTCTTTCGAGAATAGTTTGATGTATGTTACATACATTTGGTTCAAATGAAGGAATTAAAACAAAATAAAACATAACGAAGGAATCGTCTTTTTCCAGTGATTGTTATAGTAAGATACCAAAAATGCAAAATTAAAGTAGAGTTTTTTTTATATGATTAGATAGAGTGCAACCAGATGATAAAAATAGATGTGTTTTCAGTTTTTTTGAATGAGTTTTTATGTCAAAAAATTTCAGCTTTTTTCTGACGAGCTACTTTTTTTTGAAAAAGAGGTCGCTTTTTGATGAACGACAAATTTTCATTTTTTTTGCTTCCTTCAAATTTGAATAGTATCTGTTTCAGATTCAGCATGCAAAACTAAATCTAGCAAAATCATTTATCGATTTTCATTTGAAAAAATAAAATACCACTATCGAGAACATGTGCGTCTTCTCTTTAGAGAAGAACAAAGAAAACTGTTCTTCTGTTATCAAAAGACTATCATCACGTACTATCAATAGAGATCTTAATAAGTAAACGAAATAACTTAATAAATGACGTATAATACTTGAAGATTAGTACAAACAAAACGTGTGTAAAATAAGGTCAAATGTTCCTATTTATTCAAAATAAAAATATTTGTTTGAAATAGATTATTATTATCTTCAATAAACATTTTCAATTTATTTATATTTCATTTAAATGTATAAATTTTAAATTTTGAAATCATATCATTACCAATAATCGAATTTGTTGCATGATAATATAGTATATAATTATTAGATTTTGTGATTGTGGGACTTCTAGAGTTACTAACACTCTTCAGCCTTACCCTTACTAATCCTCTTATATTCATAACTGACAAAGAGCATAGAGCGATATTACACTAGATTAAGCTTGTGTTGATCCTACACTGAGCGGAACATATTACATTTTGCATTGAGCTCAGAGAAAATGAACAAAAATAATAAAAAATAAAATGTATTATTACTTTTTAGAATGTCTCATTCTACTGAGAAAAGATACAAAAGCTGATAAAAGAAAATAATCAATGTAACGAAAAACTAGAGTTGTAGCTCTATTGCTACACTTGATCATGTTCTTTATTCAGGTACTTCATATTTCCAGAATGTATCTATGTTACATACAACACACCTACATGTACTCTAACAGGTGAGAGAAAAACATGAACATCAGAAGGAATGAAAGACACAGAGTAAGAACAAACAAACAA